AGTGTGAGGAACAGAAGTGGGACAGGGAAGCCTTGCCTCTGTGTCCTCCTGATGGCAGAGACGGGCCACATCTGTACAGTGTTTTTAGGGTAAGGCCCGGAACTCAGCCTCTCTCCCTTTTCCTATTTCCGAAGAGCATCTGGGCATAAAGCTGTGTCTTTGGATGTCCAGACTTGTACCAATAACCATGGGATGAATGTGAGCAGCTGTGGCAGCTTTGGTGATGTCTCCCGCAAGATTTGCTTCTGTAAGATCCAGTCAGAGGGAGTCCAAGGAAGGAAAAGGGGATTTCTCCTTAGTGCTGTGCCTGCCAACACCCTGGGGGAATGCACTGATCCAGTCCCCTGGGGCTGCCTCCAAACCTTGGACAAGAAGGCTGTTGTGCTGGAAAGCTTGAGGGCAGAGGACTCCATGATCCTGTTGGGGCCCCTCCTTGCCGGTCCTCTGGGCTGTGTCCTGGGGTGTCTTCCAGAACTGATGGGAACAGGCTGGTGGGAGAGGTCCCTCTTAATCAATCTTGTTGCACCTATTGTTGTGAGGCATAGTCCTCCTCCCAAGCAAACATGCTGCTCCAGAGTTTCTTTTCACAAAGGCCTTATTGTTAAGATGTGAACTCACATCTCCGAGTTCACCCCAAGTGAAGTACTGAGACCTCTGTGACGCCTTTCAATCCCCAGTCCCCTTATACCCTTTATCTCCTGTGCCGAGTTCAAATTCCCTTCGAAGTTATAAACGGGTCGTGCATGTTCCAGCTATAAACTTGTCATTTAAAGCACCTTTTCCCTGAGCTTGAGCATGACACCTGTGTGCTAAAAGGAGCAGGCTCTCACCTGGTCTGCTGAAGCGCTGCCACCACTGCTTTTCCCCTTGCAAGTGTTGCTGGGAGGGGACAACGTGGGCTGAGTTGGCCGGTTGCCTGCAGCATGGCTCTTTGTCCTCAGCGGCAGTGACCCTACAGCTTCTCAGGCCGGCCTCTGTGGCAGTGGGCAAAAGCAGTGGGTCCGAGTGCTCCTGTTGCCAGACTTGTGTGATGGCAGCAGAAAGCCTTTGGGCTGACTGGTCCATGCAGAGCCTGAGTGGCGTGAGCTAGAAAGCTGTGGACTGGCCTTCCCCAGTGTGTCCCTCCTCAGCAGTGGCAGGCCGAAGGCTGGATGTTTCCCTGGGTGCGTGTGTGGTAGCCAGCAGGAAGCCTCAGAGAGGGGAATATTCTTCGATCCCTTGGCCCTGAAGTGTGTACCAACACCTATGTGCCAGGATAGTGGCCTTCCTTGTCCTTCTTTTCTTCCTTCTCACTTCATCATTTAAGCTTTCTTCATCTTCTTCTGCTGCTGCTGCTGCAGTTCTGAGAGATATGCCCCGCTCCATGAGACAGGAAGTCAAACTGGAGTTTCCTGAAGGAAGCCCCACCTTCTCTAGGAAGCACAGAAAGAAGACTGCCTTCTTGGCCCCTGCCTCCCCCAGCAGAAGCTGGCCTCCTAACCTTGAAGGAAGAACAATGTCTGAAAGGAGGCACAATCTATTTACAGCAAAGGGTTCCATAACTCAGCATTACATATAGGCAATGTATTTTTGCTACATTTGTCTCCCAGCTCATTACCATGATACTGTGATCTTACTATACGAACCCAAACAGCAAGTGCACACAGCCATCCTTGCTAAAGGAACACCATTTCTGAGAGTTAACTCTAAGTAATACTTTCCTCACAAGGAATGGCAAAAGCAACACTATTAATCTACCATACCAACTGTAATACAGAGTACAGTTTGAAAGCATCAGCCTAAAAATATTCCAGAGCATAGATGACTCCACCTGAACAACATGCATTCTTTCAGTATATAGGCATGGATATTGTTCAAATAAATGCTAAGTCAGTCCTCCTTTTCCAGGGCAGGCCATGCATCATCTGAAAGTTATGGTCATGGAAGGCTATTCAGGTTATCTGCTGTAAGGTTAACCATAAACAGCAAAGTACAATGGTACATTTTCCAGGAAGCTTCTGAAAAATGGTGTTTTCTTCTTAGGGCCACTGTGTCTCCCTTGAAATCCACAGACCCCTTGGGTCTCAAGTAACTTCAAAGATCCTGCCTTGATCCTCTGTTCTTAACTTGGTTAGTCACCACCCTTCCCAGCTTGTGTATAAACTTCCTCCTGGCAGCAGACTTTAAGAACTACCTCCAGTGACTATGTTTGCATGATCACCACAGCTCATCCCTGCTTGGGATGGTCCACTCTTCTTGGTGGTGCTCATTTCCTGATTCTTTGGCAGGATAACCAGAGGCTCCAATTATGTACAAAATGACTAGGCTCTTTCAGAGCATAACCTTCATGCAAAACAACAAAGGACAAGGTTTCAACCTTCTTTTTCCCAATGTGAACTCCTACACTCCACATGATCATATAGAAGTGTGTAGGGATGCTATGCTGTTTGGTTTGCTGCCAGGCAGTAGTCACTATGGAGAGAGATTGCAGCAGCAGCTGCCAACATTTCTATGATGGAAACAGCTCCAGGCTTAGAACTACCTTGAAAGCTGAAGCTGACAACCAGCAGTTCAAATCTGACTTTAATCTCCACAAAATAGGTGATAGGTGTCACTGGAAACACCTTTTGAATGGTTTGCTATTCTGAAGAGCAGATGCGTGGGGATGAAAAATGCAGAGTTCACCTAGTCATCATCACTGCAGTGCCTTGGTCTAGCAGGTCCGCCCTTCACCTTCCCAAGTCTGTCTGTTTCCTATTAACCCAAAAAGTGATCACATAATAAGAATGCATATTCTCCCATGGGCCAGTTTTTACTTTGATTTTGTTTGCTGCCACCATGTAGGCTTCTAAGGTTTTTGCCCAAGTGCCCAATTCTTAGTAAGTTACTTTAAAAAAAAAGTCACGTTAAAGGACAAGATACTCTCACTGAATTGTGCAGGAAGAAGATGATACCAATGTAAACTGTGAACAAGTCTTTTTACACGTTAGGCCAGTATTTGAAGCATGGGACTCATTTACAAATCAGCAATTAAAAGTACACAGTCAGATACAAAGGTATGGCACACCCTGCGAGGAAGTAAGGCACAAATTTGGTTGGGCCCTCAGTACAGTACTGGGTGGCTTTCTGATGACAGTACCTGAGGTGTTTTGTCACAACTTTTTCCTGCAATGGAGAAAAAAAAACCCTTTCAGGTATTTTAGATGCAAAATAAATATAGCTGATACATAATAGAGGATGGGTGATAAAATGAAAACTAGAAAGAAATAAAAAATACACATAAAGAGCTATTCCATACATTAGATTATGAAGTGGCTCACACATAGACCAGGGTTGCAACTATGACTGAAATCCATTCTCATGGTTAGATTTCTGCTTGCACAGTGAGATTTGCCCTCCTCTTCTGAATCTCATGGTCCTCTGTAGTCCTCCAAAAATCACCCAATTTGGCAGCTCACCCAACCGTCAAAGATTTTGAGGGCATGCAACAAACTTCATGGGAAATCGCATGTCCTCACTGCACTGATGGAGTCATTCTGTTGGCAGGAAGGGTTACCTGGATACCCTTTCCCACAAACACGTATCAACATAATATCACACCATCTGGTCATTAAGCCTGAGGTATCTTTTTAGTAGTAAGTGAAGGTTCTGGACAATGTTCAAGAACAACCCCCAGATGCAATGCACTGCACTAAGCCAGGCAGGACGTTACCAAGGCATAAATCACTTGTAGCCACACTGGCACATTCCAGGTAGTGCTGCAGTCAGTCCATCTCTGTGGTCAGTCATTTGAAAGACTTTGGTTGGCTCATGGAGCTAGGCTATTTATGCTAATTTGAAAATAGTCCAATTTTCAATATGCAGTTTTACAGCACAATCCTGCTTCTGTTCAGAAGGAATTATAAGTGAGATCAATGGGGCTCATTCCCTAGCAAGCAGGAATTGGATGGAAGCCATGCTACATGCTAGCTAAGCATGCCAGGTTCAGTACCAATTCTGTGAGTAGCTGTACCTGCCCTATTGGATCACCAAAAATATTTTTATTGAACAATACCCTGTTGTTATTATTTTTATTATGCACTAGAACCATTCACAACTCATCTCATTCCATAGCACTTTTTGGATTATTGATGTTAGCCTGTCAATTTTATATGCATAGAGTTGGTTTATCTCAGCCTTTTCCAGCCTAGTGTCCTCCAGGTGGCTTAGACTGCAAGTCTCATCACTCCATCGGCGTGGACAATGACTATGGATCATTGAAATTGTCATCCAACACAACTTGTTGAATTAGAGTCTAATGTACAGGGTACTTCTGTATGGAAATAATTTTAAAAAATAAATATTGTTAAGCAGGCATAACAGCAGCAGCAAGGCTAAATTGCAGGAAGAGCTGAATGAGAACTTTCTTTCATGATGTGGTATCTTAAAGGCAATGTTTACATCAGGGTGGGCAACTTGTGGCACTCCAGTTATTTCAGCCTACAGTCCTTTACTAACTTTTAGGCAGTGTAGTCAATGGTAACAGAAGATGATTGTTGTAAACCAAAATATCGGTGGGGGGGGGGTCACATGTTATCCACCCTGATTAACAGTCATCTGACTGAATCTAGGCAATTTTTTTTCACTTTTTACTGAGCAGCCAGGAAAAAAGTTGTATTACTCCAGGGGCTACTGGTCCGGAGGATTCTCTAGTGGTCGAAGTCTTTCCAATGCAACTAATTCCAAAAGTGGAGACAGAGTTTATACAGAGGATTGCAGTGGTGGGCCACTCTGCCAGTTTTGCACTTACATTTCATCTAGTTCATTTAAGTACTGATGTAAAACTGCACTGAGATTGTTTCATAGAGCATATTAACTAACAGAGTCTCTAAGGAGTCCCATTTAATTTTAAAATTACACAAACATGGATATTAAAGAAAAGGCACTGTTCATATAGTTTTTAAACTGTTATAACCTCTTTCCCCACAAATAGGAAATCGTATTCTTACTCCTTATTAAACACCAAGGCTAACAAAGTCACCTTTTAAATAATGATCCAGGAATTTTTTTATTCATTTTTCAGTATCATTACAGAAAATGTTATGGTACAGAGTTGTTTAACATTAGTTTTATTTCTTTTTTTCATTTAATTTTCACATGAATGCTGGTAACACTAATATCTGTACAAGATCAGTCTTTGATTTTTTAGATTTTAATTCTGTACATTTTTAAATGTATTGGTTAAAAAGGCTGTCAGCACTTAAGGAAGCAATTTTTGTTGTTCATTTAAACAAAAGGTATCCAGTTACTGCCCAATAGTACTGAGCTGGGTGGCTGCTGGGATGACAAATATCCCTGAACGCGCAGCAAGGGAGGAAAACCTCGGGGCTTGATTGGGTTCCCAGTGCAGCCACTCTGCTTTTGGCACTGTGCACATCAACACGAGATACGATAAAGAACAAGCAGAAGCTCTCTGTGAAGCGGTTATGAAGCATACTAATAAGGGAAATCCAAGTGTTGTCTACACTAGTATAAATAAGCAGACAGCCTTGTTTTAAGAGCATAAGTAGTTGTATCTTAAAGATGAGAAAAAACACAAGTTCTGCAGGCACCTACCGCTGTCTACTAAAAGCTACTGCTATCAGGACTAGCATTGAACACACAAAGCAATTGCAAGAAAGGAAAAAGTTGCTTTGATATAATCAGAATAGATTTCTTTAAGATTTGTTTTTAAAGTTTTTTTAAAAGGTATTTATTTAAATCCATTTGAAATATAGTTCGAGGTGTTGACTATACTGATCAACTTTTATCCAAATCAGAAAAACTAGCTGTGCCGTTGCATATTACAGGATACAGTCAATGATATGTGGACATGCATCAAAACTTCTCTCCTGCTGGTGACATCATAGTCTTCCAATGACCATGACATCAACCACCTCGCCCTTGTGAAGTTCCACATACTGCTCTGTCTTTGGAGGTAGCATCAACAGTCCATTGGCACTGCGCATACTCATCAGACGACTGCTCATCTGATTCCCTACAGGGAAGCAAAAAGGTCTCATTAGCAGAGCAATTGCCATAGGCTGGTGCAATGCGATGGTGGCTTAAGTGTGAACTACAAGTACCTCAATACATTTATGTTGGTGGTAAGTTTTTTTCTTTTAGTTATTACAGATACAAAATGTGGAGCGGCCTTCTCAGAAAAGTCATCTGAACATAAAATTTCCCTGACTGAAAAAACAGTTTTAGAAAAAAAATGGCTGAAGGGTGATCTTTAATGTGTTCTTCAATTTCAGTCCAATAAAGAATTGAAAAGATCTTTATTGGCCTAAACCCTTGAGCTTTTTCTGCTCCTTCTCGGATGTCTGAAATAGATATGATGGGAAAAGGAAAGCTAGGTATATAGAACTGCCATAGTGAAAATGTACTGTATAAAATCATTCTTGGTGTAAATCCTGAACTCACTGGATGGAGACTTAGATCAGATTGCATTGTAAAGCGTGATAGTTATACAATTAATTGCCCACCCACTGTAAACCTATTTACACTGGATTCTCATTAAACAGTGACTGAAAATGGAACCCAGGTGGAAAAAAATGGCATCTGAACAAATGGCATAAGTGTACGCAGCAGGGAGGGCACCATGCCAACTTAAAAATAATAGAATCTAAGTGGCAGTGATGAAAATCTAAGAAAACTATAGTCCCATGAAATATTTTCTTCTCCAAAGAATGAAACAACTAAGCTGTGCTTCAAACAATATTGCAGTGTTAGCACAGCGTGGGAAACCAGACTACCCTGTCTTATTCTGAAGAAGCTGCATGCTGGTGCAGCAGCCCATGCATTCTTTTGTTGGCCTTTCACATATCATGACCACTAAACAAACCAGGAAGGCTTTACTTAGTGTGTGTGAATTGGGAATCTCAACTTTTATTCTTTTTTACAAGTCAGAATTACCAAGCAGAGTTTGTTACTGGTTTATGATTCCTAGCTTGCTGGGGAGCAAGTGAAAAACTGACTCATGAGGTAAACCTTTTGCTCCCTTGTTTATCAACTTTGGTAGGGGAGAGGGCAAAATGTGTGAGCAAGCAGGTTGCATGCGTTGCTATGCAGCTCATTCATGATAGGCCAGGGTTCTTTGAAATCCATGTTTATTGTTCTATACAATCATGGCAACTGTTGCTTATTAGTGGACTTTAACTGTAGTTCAACAAATTTATGGAAGTCAAGAAGCAAGCCAACATGAAAGGGTTAACCTTCTTTCAACGTAAAAAAAAAAATATTTTTCTGAACTATATGGAGAATACAGTGAAGATTTAAAATTAAAGACTGTGCCTTATGCTAGATGAAGAGAATTTCTTATAATAATGGCACTGTGGAACAATTTTATAGATTATTTAAAGTCTAAAAAGATACAATTATTTTAATTTGTTAAATATTTCAATTTTTGTACCAATTTTCATTCCTTATGTTTACTTCCTTCCAAGATTTTTTGTGTGTGCCTTCAAACATCTGCTATCAGGAATTCAAAAGACAAACACAGCATTTGCTATGTGGTTTGCATTTCACTCTATGCCACCATGGGTTAATTAACTTTGCACGATGCACTGGTTGCCATTTTGAACATGCACATGCCATGGTTTATGCTGTGTGAACTCCAGTGGTGGGGCTAGGTGGGAGTTAAACTACCTGTGGCTTGCATACTAAAAGTGGCAGCTGGCGTGTACTGATCTGATTGTGCAAACCAGGTCAGTGTGGTTTTGTTTGTTATAAAATGTAGTAGTGGGAGAAAGCGAGTACAAACCCTTTTCACTTCTTGCTTTCTCTTTTAAATCCAAACTAGGTGAGATATGTGACCTCACATTTCTGGGAAAGAAGGAACAAGGGGGTGAAAAGAAGGAATCACATGCATCTTGGATGTCTGGCTTCCTGTTTCAGTGTGGCATAGAGTCCTGAGTAAAGGAGGCGCAAGTAATTCATGCATCTTCTTGTTTTCAGTGTTCTGCAACATGTGATTTGTTAAGAGCATGATTAAGAAAATGCTGATCAGTAACTAACCTGTACTTTGTGCCCAAGGCAGTGGTTCTTGGTGATGCCAAGTCAGTATGCACCGATGGTATTCTGGACGAGGGTCCAATTTCACATCACATGATAACTGCAGAAATGCATGCAAACACACAAAAACAGTGTTAAGAGGCTTATAAATCCACAAAAGCGTGCCAAAAGCCTACCCATGAATACCAAATGTAACAATGAGAATGACCTGAAGTTCGCAGGAAAACTTCCTTGACTAAACTGAAGAAAGCTTAAGAAGTAAACATGCTTTTTCTAGACCTCACACCTAATAAAATGTGAATTTCCTGTTTTAAGATTATACATTTTGTGTAATTTCTCTTACCTATACCCCACACTTACTCCCTGTTCTTTCCCAAATTATACAGCTGCAAAGTGCAACCCTATGCTGTCCTCACTCTGCAGATTTTTTGGCTCAGAAAAGAGGAGAGAAACTCTACATGAAACCTTTTAAATAATAAAAGGATCAAGATAATTTGGATCATTTTTAGAATAATGTATTACCTGGAGTCTCAAACAGAGCTGAAGAGGTGAAAAAGAAAGAAAGAGACTCAGAATAAAAATATAGAGATGTAAAATATAAGAGAACTGGGTAAACACTGATCTGCTTGGAAAATCTGTGGGGATCTGTAAACATTCTTGTGGGCTTTGCCATCCAGGAGTTTGAGAAGCTTCTGCAAACTGCTTGCAAACAGCCAATGGTCTACTTTGCTAGCTAAACATTATATCTCTGTTGATTTCAGTAGGGAAAGCTGAAGAGACCACAGACCCCAAAAGCAGAAATCAATCACTGAAGACTCTTAGAGCAAGAAGGACTTCTGCGGTGGAATGGTCTTTGCCTACCACCAAGTGTTTCCAGGGCTCTTTAATTCTTCTGAATGGCATAAATGGAAACAGAAAGTTTGTACTTATTTTGACAGGCAGACAAGAAAGCTGCATGCCACAGATGACTGGTGTGGGGCAAACAGCAGTCCACTGCTGAAGACCCTCTTGTCCAACTTGCTGATTACACCCTACCAAACTTTTCAGGGATTTAGGCTCTAATTGTACTTGCTGAAACAGGTGAAAGACAGGTTGCTTACCTGTTACTGACATTCTTCAATGGTCATCTGTGCATTCACACATTATGGGAGCTGCGCCTGTGCAGTACGTGTTGCTGGGAATATTTAATAGCTTTAACGGTTTTTGGCGGGAACTCCGCACCCCCCCCATAGTATAAATCAGTGGAGTGCCCGCCCTTTCCCCAGTCAGCTGAAGACCATCTGTTCACCTCCAAGTGGAGAGAGCGAGTACAGAATCTGGCTCATAAAGAGGAAAGAAAGATATATATCTATATATACATTCACGTAAACTTATATATATGTATGTAAGTATAGTATACCCAGTCACTGACCCCGAGTGGGGCCAGTGGGCGGGTTGTGTGAATGCACAACCCACTTATCAGATTTGATGGAGTCCATTTTGCATTCAATCCCCAAAAGGGACAGGGGAAGATGGATTGAGGGAATGAAGAATGATTTGCGCGTTCCATCAGCATGGACGCTTGTCTGCATCTGGTTGGCACCTGGGTTGCTGATATCAAGCTGCATTTTGCCTTCGATTGCGCTGCTGTCTTTGGCCATATTGTTGACGTCCGGATGGGTACGATTGATGGTAGGCTGGTACCGGTATTGCAATCTGTTCCATGGCCACTTACTGTACGTCTTTGGTGGGAAGGAGCTTCCATGCGACATGTGGTGAGATGAATTTTCTGGATGTTCTCAAGCTTGTCATCCGTTTTCACATTGAATTATCTGGAGCTGTCAAATGGTATGTTCTCAACATGCTGCTTGGTCTCCTGTGACAAATTTCCAGATCTCAGCCAGGCGTGGCGGTGAAGTGTGACGGAACCGATGAGAGCTCGGGAATCACAATCGACATGATGCCTCACTGTGTTGAGCTGTTGTCTGGAAAGCTGCATTGCCTCCCCGATCAAAAGGTGGGCCAGCTCCCTTTGCTGGTCCTGGAGGAATGCAGCGAGGGACTCGATCTTCTGCCAGAAGAAGAACTGATAGCAGGCCATGGTGGTCTCTTAACTGGAGATCCTAAGACCAAGTCCCATTGTGGTGTAGATGTGGCGAGACATCATGTTGATCTTTCTGTCCTCCTTATCAGTTGGAGTTGAGTGTTTTTTAATTCTGCCTTCCCTGGGAGGATTCAATCACTATCAAATTCGGCTGAGGGTGTTTTAGGAGGAATGGAATGTCTCGTTCCCAAACTTTGTACATCCCCTCTAGGCGACTGGAGGTGGGATGTGGGTGGTTCGGAAGCTGCCAAATATTGATCATTGCCTAAGAGTGGTGATAAAAGGCAGAGTGATGGACGATGAATCCCCTTTACACACAATGTCATAAATATTGTCCTGGTTGGGATCTATTTGTTGCTGCACATCTATCTCCAGTGATTTGGTCATTCAGGAGAGCAGCTCAGAGAATGTTCAGTGGGAGTCGCCTGGAGATCCAGGACCTTGAGTAGAAATGACCACATTGGGAGATGTGGAGGCTTCCTTGGAATCCTCCGAGTCCGAATATGAGATATAAGGCGGACTAGATGAGGACCTGCCAGGAGAAGTTGGTGGATTGGCAAGTGCTGCAGCGGAGGTCGACGGAGCGTCCCTCGACACCAAGTGAGGGGTGGAATGATGGGGATGCATTGGTGGTTGTGGGTAGTATCCATATGGGGGATAGTAATCTCACAGATAAGGCCAGTCAAAGTGGTTAGGATCAAATTCCCTGCACAGGAGAGGAACCCCGTACCATGAAAGTTGTGGAGCAGAAGGCTGGGGTGGTAAGAAGGACGACGGGTGTTGGAGTGCCCTCTGAGATCCCCCTGGAGATGACTGAGATGCGGGCCCAGGTGTTGGTGATCTTGCAGGTGGACATTCAGTTCTCGGCTGGGGAGGAGATTAACGGATTTCTCCATCAGAGGTTGAACCTCTCGCCAAAGGAACGGGGCTGGAGTGTAGCAAAGTTGTAATCCATGGGGGTGACCATGGAGGTGTCACCTGCATAATAGACTGGCGGCTTGGAGTTTCAGCTGGGACCGAGATCGGAACTAAGATCAGTGCAATGGTTGGCTCTGAGCGAGGCACCTTGTCATGTTTCTTGTGCCAGTGCTCGAATTTGTCAGGTTTGTCCTTCTTAGGACATTTGGACTTTGATGACTCCTCGGACCCGACATACTTCCTCTTCTCCTTATGTTTGCAGGGAGGAGAATTAGAGGAGCACTTTCCATCTTTGCTGACAGAATCCCCTTCAGATGGACGAGCGGGGACGACTTTTGGCGGTCCTGAAGCTGCAGAAGAGCTGGCCTCAGCTGAGACCTGCTTCATGGTGACCAGTGCTTGGTCCCATAACATTTTTTGCAGCCTGTTCTCGCTATTTTTGTGAGCCTGCCTGGTAAAGGCCTGCAGTGGCTGCATTTATTGGTCCTGTGCCCTTCTCCAAGGAAGAGAAGGCACAGATCATGAGTGTCAGTGGGAGACATCTTGGCTCCACACTGAGAGCACTTACAGAAGGCTGCCCACTGTGCCAACAAGGAAGAAAAAAGAGGAGAGAGCACAGTGAGTGGAAAGAGTTTGTGGAAGAGAAGGACGACTGAAGGGTTTTTTTTAAATTGAGGGTGTTAAGGGGTTGAGGGGGAGAATAAGAAAATAGGGGTAAGGGTTCAGTAAGGGGTCAACTGGGATAAAGGGCTAAGTTGAAAAGTGAAAAGGAATGAAGAGAAGACAAGATTTCAAGTTTATGATTTAGAAATGCAAGCAGAGCGCAAAAAGGTCTGAGCGAACGGTGGTCACAAGCAGACTGGGGAAAGGGCAGGCACTCCACCCATTTATACTGGGGGGGGGGGAATGGCATGGAGTTCCCGCCAAAAAGTTATTAAATCTTCCCAGCAACAGGTATTGTGCAGGCACAGCACCCATAATGTATGATGCCCGGAGACCACGATGAAGAAATCCTAGTACCACAAGTAAAGGTGGGAATTTCTTTTTTGTGCCATTTTCCTTGCTTTGAAGTGAGGAATAAGAAGCTGGCCCAGAAGACTAGGGAGGGCAGAGGTGTAGTCCCACTTAAGAGTCTTATCAGACTCCAAGGAGCTTCAGCCAGAGTTGAAATTGACCACAACCATTCACAGAGGAAATTCACACTTTTGAAGCCTCTTCCAACTAAAGCACTGAAGATCTCAAACCAAAAACTGCCAGCAAAGCCCAGGCACATTACTTCCTTGTACCACTGGGAGAGCTTGCAAGGGACTGCTGGTTTAACTGGGCAGTGCTTGCTACACTGGGAAATAGGTAACTTGAGTTACTGATAGTGTCCTGCCTGGTCTTGTTATATGACCTATGGACTCTGGATAAATTAAGCTACTTGCAGATTATCAGAAGCTCTGCTTGAACTGAAATGCTTCCAGCTGCCTGTCTTTAGGCCTTCAGCTCTGACAAGGGTAGAAAAAAGAAGCATGTCTTCTGAAGTGATGGAAATGTTGAGGACCTTTTTCTTTAGCCAAATAACACTACAGTGTAGGATTATAGCTTTAAAAAAGCCCTTGTTTATCAGATCATCATGATACTTATTCAGTGGGTCTCCAGTAATGCGGACTGTGCCATTCAGCCATGTTCAGCTTCTTTCAGACTGAGGCCAAATTTGCTTCCAGAGGAGTTCTTGGGGGCAACCCAAGGGTCAGACTGGGACCCCAGGTGTGCTGGACTGGGGCTGTGGGCCTGAGGTGTAGCACGCCAATGAGATAACCTCACTGTGCTACACAGAATAAGGAGGCTCAAGCGACATATAATGGGTTCACGCCAATCAAGTCTGTGGGGGCATCTTTGGGTTATGCAGCACAGGACATACAGGTGGGTGGTGAAAACTTTCTCTCGCCTTCGCATCACCTCCGTGCAGCCTCTCTACCAATGCTATGTTCTTCTCAGTTAGGATCCAGTACTGGGGATGAGTCCAGCTTGGAGAGAAACTATGGGGGAGAAAAGCAATGGGCTGAGGAGGCTTCAGTGTACCTGCCTGGAATACTTGCTTTTTGCTTTCCCTTGGAGGCAGCTGGGGCAAACCCATTCTCACATCAAATATGATCTCAAGACTTTAACAAATTGCAGAGTGTTGGTTGCTATGCCCTTGGCAAGATTAATGTTTAGATCACTTAATCAGATTTTATTAGAGCCTACAGGAGGCCTGCCTGTTCCAGCTTTAGTAATTAATACCCTGTAATGCAAAGCAACATTCAGCAAGTAACCAAGAACACAATAGGACAGTGCCTTGGTTCCTCATCTGAACTGGACAATTCAGTTCAGTCTTCAAGATCTGAAGTGTGCAGCAACAAACATGGACTGGAACACCCCCAAGGAAATGCAAGAAAGCTGGGGTTTACCATCTTGCTGGCCTCTCACCCTGGATGATACCTGTCGGCTGGACCGGGGCTCTCCTGAGAGATGCTCCCATCACTCACAGGAGGAGGGAACCTCCCCTGTGGACTGACTGATTGCAAAGGCCTGCCAGCAAGGTTTGACCCTAGGAAGGCGTAACATCTGCTGGTCTGAAGCAGAGTGGCAACACGTCAGCAGCAATGCCCCCAGAAAGGATGGTGTCCAAGGGGGCTGCTCCTTTAGGATACTAGGCTAAGGGCCACCTTCTTAACATCTTGGCCAACCTGGGTTGTTTCTTGTTCTTGTTCTCGTTTTCATTCTCCTCTGGGTCCTGGTTGTGGTATGCATGAGGTTTAGCTTCCCTTTCACAGGGACTAAATATGTGTTGGGGAGGAAAGATGAAGAGCCAACTGGGGGGACGCACACGGGACCAGTCTGTGTAGTTATGGGCAGAGGGAGATACGGAGTTGGGAAGACAGCCAGATATGGGAAACATGGCCCAGACAGTCAACCACTGCCGTGTTCGGGTCTGGTTGCACCACGTCTCTGAATGATACTTTTGAATGGCAGATCGCTGCAGAATAAAATGTTTCTCATCAGCAGTTTAATAGTGGATGAAGCAGCTGATCTGGGCAGTTTAACAGAGGATGAAGTGGCTGATCCAGCATTCATAAATGAGACCTGGTGGATGACTAGGGAGGAATTAATCTCTCCCAGTTTTGCTACCGGGGCACTTGAGAGCTGGGGAAGTGAGTGTTGTCATAGTCTATAGGAATTCTGCCTCCTTCTCTGGGATCTACTACAGACTACTAATCTGAAGTGTTCACATCTCGAGTTGGGTCAGCAGGAGACCGGGGATGCTGCTGCCACACTGCCTACCCTACAGTCCATCAGTGTCCCCACGGGGTGGCCTTGGATGTAATGCTGTGGTCCCCCAGTCTGCTGATTCATGCCGATGGCACTTTGACTGGGTTGGCTCAGGCATTCAGGGCTACCAAGATCACCACAGGACTGCCCTAAAATGTCATTGGCTCAACACACGTAGCAGGGTCCATGCTTTTGGCCAGGTATGAGGATAATGTTCCAAAGGTGGGAGACTTTGACTTTTTTTCTTTGCCAGGGTCAGATCACGACCTGCTGAGATTTAGACTGACAGCCAGGGTGGGCAGTCTATTAAAATGATCTGGCCCCACGGGTGGTGCCCCCAGCAGTTTCTCATATTCTCAAATATTTCCATGGTTCCAAAAAGCATGGGAACCCTGTGAGTCAGACCCTCCTCTCCCTGTTCCTATAGTCAAGCTTGGTGTTGCACAAGAAGCACATTTGTCTTGGGCAGGCTTGGGTGAGGCTGACTTCTTCCTGTTCAAGCCAAGTCAGCATGCTCTTCTGTTTAAGGCCAGAGATGACATAACTTTCCACATTAATCAGCCGGGCTAGTATGTGGTTCCTCACTTCTTTGTCATAGAAGAGTAACCATCGCGCACACTGTTCATATATCTCTTAAGTGCCATGTACATACACTATCCTATTTTAAGGACTGTACTTCCCATCGCCAAACCACAAATCTTGTGCTAACCTTCCTTACTGCAGGTGAGTACAACTCATGACTCGCAGACTACTGGTGTTGTCCATTGGTGGCCTGCAAGCCATGTTGTGTGTCCTGCTCAAGAACTCTTGCTGAAGCAAAAAATGCTCCAGCAAAAGTCAACACTGCAGCGTGAATGGTGGCAAGCAGTCGTGGGGTGGAGGCTAGCTGCCCTCCCCATGATCATGAAGTAGCTTGAGCCACAGCTAATAGTTGGTTTGGAGTCTCTGGGGTGCAGGGGAAGCAGCGTCTTCCTTTTCCCAGCAGCCCCAGTGCAGCCCCAGTTGCTTCTTTACAGTTGTTAACAGCAGTGGTAGAGCAATGACTGAATCGGAAACACCGAGGTGTGATGAAGGCTGCCACCCGCTTGCTCCTGCAGTGATCCTGGTCCAGTGATCCCTGAAGTGTACGCTGAGTGGCTGTGAGTATATGGGTTTCAGCTAGCAGCGAGAGGGGCCAAGAAGACTGCATGCCCAGTTTAATGAATTAATTGTAATTAGAGTCCTCCTGGCCTCAAGATAAAGCTTCAGCATCTAACGTAAATACAAGAATAGCAGATAGTTCAGTGGGAGTATGTTAGCACAACAGGTATAGCACATTGTCTGGATGCCTTATTTACACGCTCTTTTCATTATTACAGTCCAATCCCTGGAACTGATGAGGCTTCCAATGTTATTTTGCCAATACTGTGACACTAATATAACTACATTGAGCACCTCAACAACTCTTCCTGTTTTAAACTCTTACCCTGGCTTTTATAATAGTAGGACGAGGGTCCAGGATTCCCTGCATCTTCCTTAGTGCTGGGACAACAAAGAGATTGCAGGTAACAACAGCTGACACAGGATTTCCTGAAGATAAACAAGAAAATAAACAACAACAAAAGCCAGTTGACGGGTAAGTAATTTGGAGTGATGAAGAAGTATCATATTGCTGTATCATACTGCAAGATTCCATATCTATGAGAGGTGTAGGGGAACTATTTCATCTACATGTATTTTTGCATATACAAGACAAAAGAGTGCATAGCACGCAAGAAGGGAATTACCAAGATATATGCATTTAGGGTCCCTTAAATACTGGATCTGGTAGAGATTCCAATTTGTTTTGTATTTTATGTGCACTAGTGAAGGTCAATTATATTTATTCTTTAACAAATCTTACCTGGGAGTGCAAAAATTATTTTTCTTACACCATCAATATCCAAAGTTGCAAAGGTTGTTGGCAACCTAGAAAAATAAATCAATTGTTAAAACAACAAAACAAACTTTTGATTTAAAAGTGAAGCCTCATGTAATCATTTCATTTTGACTTATAATCAGAAAGGTGTTTGCTGTCTCAGTTCTTGCCACCGCCCCCCCCCCCAGCCCCCTTGAGAGCACTGGAGACTAATTCTCCTCACACAAGTGTGAGAAACTGAACAAGGAAATAGTGTATCCTAGTCCCTTCCTCCTCCTGACGAGAGCCCCACATCTCCAGGTAGGGCAGGAAAAGCCCCTTCCTGAAATGCATGGGGAACTGCTGCCAGCCCGTGTTGATGACACTTGACCAGACAGCCCAACGGCCTGGTTTTGTATATGGCTGCTCTCTATCTTCCTAGGCAAGCCCAGGTCAGGGTTCCAGTATTTTCATAGGTCATTAGTGGACAAAATGCAGCTCTTGCTTCTCTCCAGACACCCTGGAGCAGATACATAATCCTCCCTCCAAATGTTTGCATGCATCATGCACTCTAACCTATTCATGTGATTTGAATTTGACATACATGCATATCTGAAAGAACATATTTATACCTTCAATTATATTTAAAAATACTTATACATCTGAGAGAGAAGACTGTATCACTCATCAAAATGAGATGTTAAAGAGGACCTGTGGCTGCCAGGAAAAGAACAAGCTGCATATCATCCTTTTTTGTCCCTTGTAATGCTGAGCAAAACAGCACTCAAGTTGTAGTGGGGACATTTTGTGAGTTCCTCTGCCCTCTCAAGAAGCAGCCGATCCTGTACTGCACAGCATGGAAACTTTTGATGTACTCACCCCATGTTACATGTTTATTTTACTTGATGATATGGGAGGGAAAAAGGACACATCGACTTTTGACATTTGAGTGGTAATAGGCCATTCCTTGATACCAGGTCCGTATACTAGGTCAGACTGTTGAACTGTTCAACCCAGTAATGTTTGCTCCAGTTGCCAATGCTTTCTGAAATGTCAGGCACAGATCTTTCACCTCACCTACCAGTGGATCCTTTCAGCAGAACAGAAAAGGGCTGCTGGGGGCAAGTGTCTGGGAGAAAGACATGACCTTTCCCCCTTTTCCTTCCTGAATTTCCTCCTTTCCCTCAAATACAACTTGGCCTGAATATGGCCAGAAGGTTCCTGCCTCAAGCTGGTTGTCCTTGAACAGGAGACTTCTGTCTTCAAAAAAAATATTAAGTAAGTGAGGAAGTATCTGAAGGCTGGCTCATAACTTACAACAGCAATGTGTTTGCTACCAAACCCTCCTTTTCGTGGAGATTCATGTTACAGTTCTCATGTATGCTGCCAAGAACTACATGGTAATGGTATGCAAGTGAGAATGTATTTGCATGCATTATGATTCAGATGCAGAGGCCAATGACATGGAAACTGGATTTTAAGCACAGAAGCAATGAATCGGGTCATACTCTAAACAATTTTGCTTAGGGTTGGAGGGAAAGTTTAGATGACTGATCTCCTCAGTTTCTTTTTGCTGACTCTAATTCTTTCCTCCAACACCAGGGATTAAAACCAACTTAAGGCAGCCGAAATCTTTGCTTACTAGCATGTCTGATTCTTGTTCATTATTTCTCGGCTATAATTGCCTGTCACATGTATACACAAGCCACTTCTGTGGTTCAGCAGAAATGTCAGGGAATTGTAATTTTTACAGCTCTGAGGTTTGCTCCATTACAAACTTACTTTCATTTAACAATACTTTACTGTCATGAAAGTGTGGAGAATTTCACTTAGAGGTCCCTAATCTTCCTTCCAAAACTAAATTTCCTAGAAATCCCTGAGAAGAGAGTATGAGTGTTTTGTCAGTTAACTTTGATGTGTATATGCCATTGTGGCTTCCTTCTTGTTTCCTGTGTCCTTCCAAAGGTTCCTCCTTTGCTACTTTCAGTCTTTTCAAATGCAGGCTATGTGTGTGCATGTGTGAGTGTTAACAAACTTGCTTTATGGTCTTATCTGTTCAGCAGTTGTTGTCCAATAATTTAGTAATAAAACCAACCAGAAATGTAGAAGGAGATACATTTTCATACTCCATATCTAGACATACATTTTCCCATGGAGTGTGTGAGAAACATGAATTAAAATCATTCCAATATTACAGTATTAATGTCTACTTACCCTGGTTTCATAAAAACCCTGCCAAAGTGAATTTGAGCATGAAGATCAATATCCAGCACCTGTTTAAGATAGTCCTGTTGTAAGAACAAAGAAAAAGGGGATTTAAAAGCTGTTAATTAAAACACGTAGGATGAAGCCTTCTCCAATCCCTTGAGTGTTAAGATAGTTATTTGTAAGATTTGCAGCCCTCTTTTCTACCAAATAGTGAAGGTGTTTACCAGAAATACAATACAAATGCATTAAATGTACATTCCTATGCATGTTTAGATGGAAAAAAGGTCCTACACTTCCTAGTGTGCCCCATAGCTGGCTGAGGCATACCAGGGATTGTGGGACTTTTCCTCCCTCTGAACATGCATAGAATGGCACACCAAAATACAATACAGCAGCAATAAATTACGAAGGGCACTACCAACTTGTTAATACTCAACCCTGAATGGCTACTTGTCACTTGTGCTTCTAAGGAACTGTGTGCCAACTGCTTCAGGATGGCATAGCTGGCATCCCTAAGGACTCAGTCCTATGAATGTTTAGACATAAAACCAGTCTACAACATGGCTTGCTGGGGCATGTTGGAGATGGAGGCCTTTTTTTTTGTCTAATCATGCACAGGATTGCACCCTAAATCTCATTAACTAGATTTGCTGTACAAATTGTTCCACCAACTAAGAACTGCCAGATACCAGACGAGAATCGTGCTATCAGGCCTGTGTCTAGGCTAGGTACACTGTGAATCGCCTGTTCCTGAGATGTCAGGTTATCCAGAGATAAAAGTGGGATGCAGCTTCATAAGCATATTGTACCTCCTACACACCTCTCTTTGAAGCATTACAATATCTTATCTGCACCTAATGGAAGTGATGTAAACTTTGCAGTGGAGAAGAGAACCCTATTGTTCTTCATCCCTATTTAGGAAAACAAAAAACAAAACAAGCCTTGCTTTTCAGAGGCATAAAATATCTGAAGCTTAAGCTGGACAGAACTTCTAATGCTACCTTTTCCTCTATTTAACTGTTTCAGAACTGTATTCGGTAGTCAGTTGCCATTTGAAGGGTGTTATCCAACAACCAAAATAAACAACCCCCCCCCAAAACAAGTCCCTGAATCCTGCAAGTTATTTTTCTTTTTCAGTTTAGAAGCTTGTCAAGCAGAGGCACTGCTAGGTTTGTGCCCTGCCACTCATTTTTCCTTTAGTCTTTTGTTGGGTGGCTGTCTGCCCCACTTTTTTCTTTTTTACTTGGTATGTGTGGTGCTTCTCTGTTCTCAGAGACAAGGGCTCTGCCAGCCAGTCAGAGGAAGACATCAAAGCAAAGGGTTGGAAAGAAGCACTGGAAAGCAAAATGCAGTGCGGGGTGATTTCAAAGCTGCAAGTGTGGGTCGTTTAAATGTAAAGCCATCTTGGCAAGAGTGAAGGTGAACTCAGCCAATCAGAAACTACCCTTGGGGACATGGGACCAGCTGGACTTGCTAGCATTCTTGCTTCAGGGAAGGGAAATGATTTAAAAGGAAAGTGGTGCATAGCTGCAGTCTTGGCTCCTGGCATGGACTACCTCTCTGGCAAAGTTTGGGGGTCCTCAGGGCTACAGAGCCTCACACCTCTGCTTTGTGATCTGTGGCTAACAGCACCACTGCTTTCAAGGGGTCCCCCCAGGGCAGCTCTAACACAAGAATGGGGGGGTGCTCTGCACAGAAGAAGTGAAAGAGATTATAAAACTGCCAATCTAAATGTTTGTTCTCATATAGAAGAACCAAATGCCACATAAAACAAACTGCAACAGCCATGCGCAAAACAGAAAGGTTTGACAGTGGGGACAGATATGGGACAAGTGGGTCCCTGCATCCATAGTGCGCATGATGTCCAGATGCTCAGTCATTCTGCAGCTGCGCAGAAGCAACTGAGGCCTTCCCTGGTTGGCTGGGACAGTATCTGTTCCTGTGAGCAAAGGTGACAGGAGGTGAGTGGGTGGGCAGGGTGGCGGGAAGGGAGGCTTCCAAGCCCCATTGCACTTCTGATGATGCCAGTGGGATTGGGCCTGGGCCTAGTGGCCTCTGAGCTTCTCTTGGCTGCCTCATGGAGGTGGAGAGGATCCATTCCATCTTCTCTTGGCAGCAGGGTGTTGAAGAGGATCCAATCCACTTAGGAAAAAGCTCAAGGGCTTTAAGGCTCTGCTGCCCTTCTGATGACAAAATCAGCAGGCTTTTTAAAGTTTTTCTGACCCATTTTAGAGTACAAACTCCTATATTTAAAAGCAAACACACACCTGAACTCACTCAAATTCAGTGGAAAGTTCCAGATATGAGCCACATCAACTGTGCTATCACTAGCCCTGATCACTCCCCAATGTGTTTTGTGTTACACCATTGTTTGCTTTGCTTTATGCAATCAAATATCATCCTTTTCACATACCTTCTCCCCCATGGACACACCCCCTGACGTGATGATGACATCAGCACGACTGATTCCTTCATTCAAGGCATTAAGTAAATCATCTGGACTGCAGGATAATAAACAGATAAATGGTAATTAATTTGTATAATCTATAAACATAAAAGGAACAGAACGCCAGATAAAACTTATCATATATGTAACAAGGACAGATCAAGGAGCACTACCAAACTACATACCTGCTCCTTCAAAAGAAGTGGAGCAGCATTCAGAATAGGTCCAAAGAGCAATTCCTAAGCCTGGGAAGCTACTCACAGGACCTGTCTTTCCAGGGTTCAGTTTAATAGCTGTCAAACTCATACTGCAGCTCTCCTTGGTGGACAGATAGAGAAGGCAGGCTGGTTCCCCTTGCAAGCCTTGGACTGGTAAGTACTTGCAAGATTAGGAGAAGTGCAATCATGCAGACAAGCTGGGAGCCATAGGATGTTCTATAAAAGGCTTCCCAGTGGTGCTAAGCTTTGCTATAATAAAGTAAGTGTGGTGGTTACAGAATTCTGTACCATTTGCGTCTTGACTCTTGCTGACTTTGCTCCACCTCTAGTGCTGCTATGCCTGCCCAGTATCTGACGCTTGCTTGTTCCTGACTCAGCCTTTGCCTGCCAGTAATGGAATGAGGTTAGATTTTAGATTTCAAAATGGGGAGAATGTAAATGAGTAAGTTCCATCTTAGTAGCATAATGAGTGAATCAGCCCTAAGGCTGTGATTATATATATTTATACATGTTAATTGCAGCTATTCCAAGAGGTAGAGCAGAAGTGCAGAACCAGTTGTGGAATGGTGGGGAGGATGTACGATACCCCCACCCACTCCTCTGCAAGCTAAATGACATCAGGTAGCCATGGCCACATCCTACTACTGGGTCCAGGCTTTTCTGGTTAGGGAGTCCCATGTGCAGCAAAACTGAGCCAGCTATTGGAGGAGGGGGATTAGGCTTGCTCTACCCTGACTGGTAATATCAGTGAAGTCTTTCTTACGCTAGCTCAGTTCTGCCTCTACTGAAGTTAGCAGCAGGGTTGTGCAACTGGGACACGTTTGCAAGGGGATCCCTGATATTATCTCTGATGTAACAGCATGTAATGCCTTTTGAGGGAATTCTTCCAGGTAGTAATGAACAAACCCTAACCCTGGAGGCTCTTAGAGGCTCCAGGGGCCAGCTTAGGGTGCCTGGTGGGTTGGATTGGCCTGAGGACTGAAGTGTGTGCCTTTTAACAATGAAATAATTACTTGTAGATAAACCTGTTACTTGTTTTCTGTCCCTCTGCAGAATATGTGAACCTTCCCCTACGTTCAGGAAAGTCCTCAACTTTCTGAAAGACTGTTTTGCAGAAGATGATACAAATTTCTGATGCTCTGGAGGACAATACTAGAACCAAAGGGTGGAAATCAATTTTAGCTAAACAACAGAAGAAACATTATCATTATACTCCATTTGGGCTTCCACCATCTTTTTCCAACGGCTCAAGAGAGAAAGCAGTGCGTGCTACTGATACATCAAGTCCGGGACTTGAATATTTCAGGACCATGGACAGCAGCCCTAGAGCTGGAGTACTGATAAATTACTTCAACACCGACTGGGATTTATGGTAGGCAAGGAGAGTCCTTTTGGAAGCTCTACCCCCTCAGATGTATTTGGCTGTCAAAAGGCCAGCAGCCTTTTTCTGTAGCCACTGACTTCTCCTGAGCAGTGAAGGTTGGAATAATCAGTTGGGGATTGCTCCACAGGGTGTCCTTCTTCACTAGAAGAGTCCGAGGTCCACTCCTCTGAGTTAGAGAGCTGTGGCACCTTCTGGGGGTTGTGTGGATGAGAGCCAAGGCAGTAGGTGTCAATTTGGAAGGACCACAGACTGGGTCTGGCATTTCCTTAGAGGGTTAGGAATGACTCTTGGTCTGGGGCCATGACAATAACCTCCAACAACTGTCAGTTTCCACAGAGTAACATTTGCGATTGTTTAGCAGCACATAATGCAATTCTTGTGACAAATAAAAAGAGCAGCAGATTGCTAATACTGAATTCCATATTTTACGGCTCACTTCTTGTTTAGTTAAGGTAGTGTCGAGAACATCTGCTTTGTAAGGGAAATCTGTTGTAAGGAACTGTGAACGTTGCTAATTAAATATAGAAACAAGTTTTCCCTGGATAATTAGGAATCCCCACTTTCAGCATATTTGTACAAGGAACCAGGCATTGGTTTATATAGCTTTCTGATACTGAACTTCCTGTGCTGTTTCCAGTCAGAGTTACCTCTGAAACCACTGTAATCTGTTACCCCTAACCATCAACAAAACACACTTGATTACCCCACTCTCATACCTTAAGTTGTAAATAGGATTATCAAATTTTAGATTGTGAATTATCCTTATAATTAGCAGCATTTATACAAGCAGCATGCATTCAACTAAACATTAAAGCTTCAAAATGATATCACAATTAGTATGAGATCCTAATGTCCTCAACTTTTTGAAGGGCTTTTTTGCAGAAGATGACACAAACCTGTTCTCTGATGCTCTGAAGGGCAATACCAGAACCAATGGGTGCGAATCAAGTTTGGCTAAACATCAGAAGACCTTTGTTCAACTGCTGAACAAGTCTTACCATTAGCAATCTACCTTATGGGGTAGCACAGAAGGCACTCCTCTGCTGGAGGTATTTAAGCAGAGGATGCAAGGTCATCTGTCAGGGTCTTGCATTGTAGACTGCACTGAGCAGAATGTTGGACTAGATGACCTTCACATTCCTTCCAATGTTATGCATCTATGAAATGCTACTCAATTCCTTTGGATTAAAAATAGTCTTGTAAGACTTTCCTTCTTGAAATATTACTCCTTTCTTACCTATGATTTTTAAAAATAGCTGTTAAGACTAACAAGATTAGCAGACTGATTACTGCTTACATAAGTTGCTTTAAAATAACTCAGAGTAAATGCTTAATACTAGGAATGTGTTCTGTAAAACCACATCAGTAATGCATAACATTTTGGCTGCATGCATTATTTTATTATAGCCTAGTTACACTGAAGTGGAAAATTTGTTTTGAGCTGTATCTCTTCTGCAGGTGGTGGGGCTTCATAAAATTAAATGCTCCTCCATAGCAAATATTTCCCTCCATACAGTCTGGCAAAAATATTTTAGTCTGGTCTTCTCTCAGACATAGCAATTTTCTGTGTGGAGGCATTTTTACAATATGAACCTTTCAATCATGAGTCCCTACCTGCAGTCTGAAGTGATAGGTCTAGAACAATACAATTACAATGAAGAACGACAAAAATCATTATCCAATAACCCAACAAGCTTATAAAGGGACTATTTTAACTGAAATTCCAGTAGAGCTTTATTTGACCTTCACTTTAATACATCTCTCTGCTAGAGTCTCATTTTTGCTGATGCAATTTCTTAATCCCTTATGAAAAATTTTCTGTAATTTGTTCATTAAAATTGGCAACCATCTCTGTTAACCCTCTTATTATCACTTTGAAATACACAGTTAATATGATGTGGAAATTAAACAATGTAGTAATGACAGGATTGAGCACCGGGGACTGAATTATCACAGTTTTCTTCCATCTCAATTCTCTAAAGATCATAACAGAAAATGATCTGCTATCCTGGATCAGTCCTACACTGTCCATTTCTTCACTTGGGCATTTTACCCAGTTGATTCTCTCAATTACTGCAAGTTGCTTCTATCATATTAATGTCTAAAAAGTGGGTATTTCTTACTATCAGCTAAAATGCTTTCAATGAAAGTTTCAGCTGTCAAAAGAAGAGTTTGAAAATTGTGCCTCAAACCTGGAAGAGATGATCTCCACAATTAGTTATCTTACACTCCTAACAATGGGTAATGGCTCAGTACGCGTAGGCCCTGTGCAGAAAACAACACTGTGAAAGTCCTTAATCTCACAATAGTCTTCCTGTGGTGCATAAACAAGAGAAGCAAAGCACACCAGGTACGTATAGAAACTAACTCACTTTATCAGACACTAAGATCTCAAGACATGCTCGGTTTCTTGAACTGTAGAAGGAAAATAACTCTTATTTCAAAACCAGAAGCTACCACTATATATAAAAGCACTTCCAACAAAGTAAGCTGTACTCAGTCCTGACCCTCACACAAAAAGCAACCAGCCAATGTAGTGTTGAGTCAAAGCTAGCATGCTGGGCTATCTACAACTGGGATAACATCTAGCAGAGCCTACTGCTTTTATTACTTTACTGTTAAATGTGCAGTGCCAATGAAGGTATGCAATGAGTTGAGAGACATCTTTGCATGAAATGGAGTCCCACATTTCAAGCTGGAACTCCACATAAGAGTTGGGACATTATTGCAGCCTTACATACTTGGGTAGCTGCAGGGACCAATTTGCCACATTGGGACAAAAACAACCAACCAAATTGAAAATGGCCATATAACTATGTCCAGCCATTTTTCCCCAAGGCCTTTTTCTCTATCGATTATCCATTTGACTGATTTATAGAAATATTGAAGTAACTATAGAACTATTCATTCAGTAAGATTATTTTCTAAATGGCAAATAATTTTACTTGCATTCTGGAGAAAACCAATACCTTTGTTTTCTTATAATTAATGGCTAATTGGTTTTCTTTGCAATACTCAGAAAAGCCAGCCAGTGTCCACTTCAGCTCAATCCAAGTTTGAGAGCAGAATTTTATTATCTGCATAAATTATGCCTTTAAATAATGTGCAGGATGACAGTCAATTCACCTGAAAGCCTGAGGTATGTCTGCAAGATAAAAATGAAATGTCAGAGAAAGGACACAACTTTATCTAATCTTTCTCATAGAAGGAAAATATGAAAGGTGGGTGACTTTTCCACAATGCATTTGGCCAGTGATATTGGAATACACATTCTTATCAAGTATAGTAACTGGGGTTCAAATTGCAAATGCTTTAGTTTACAGGATCTGATGGGAAATTCAGTAAAATGGTGACCTTGGATCTATAAATGCCACAAACAGCCTTATTTTTGAAAGGAACATGCCTCTACTAAGTGGGTTAGACTGAGACACTGGCTCACAGTGGAAGCGCCTG